CCTATTGAATTTTGCATACTGTAGAAATTAACATGTGTTTAGGGTACTGAAGTTTTCCATTCATTTGATTTACCCACTTGTTCCTTGTTCTCTTAAGAACATTTGCAATATTTTTAGAGTCTGATTAGGGCATTCCTGAATCAGTAATTTGCAAGTTAAAACTGATCATTGTAGCCAGCCTTCAAAATGCAAGGATGAACCTGGGGATTAAAACTTTAAAGCCTTCCCTTTAATTTGAGTGAGGATAGTGCTCCAAATAGCTTAGAAAACGAGGAAGCAGGATTTGCTTTCCAAAGACGCTTTATATTTTGGATACAGAATCAATACAAAGGTGAGATACACCCAATTTGAATTGGTAAAATATGTAAATCCTTGCCTGCTAAACTCAGAGATTAATGTCTGAATAGGAGTAGGACGTACCAACTGTAAAATTATACAGGGCATGGCGATTACCCCATCTACATGATGGGGCTTGATGTAGAGGCTCTATTTTAGGATTGCACATAAAGAACCAAATGCAGAAAGCCGAGCTTTGTTTAATTCGTCCAGGGCAGCGCCCTAATTTTCTACACTATCCATTTCCCTTCTTTAAGAATGAATAACACATGTTCTTTATGGAACTCTGTGCATCCTTCACTTGAGAGCAATTGCTTTTCCAAGCTCCTCTATTAGATTCTTCTTTGGTTGCCTTGTTATAATGCCGCTGGATTATGTTAAATTGCATTGTCTTTATTGCACTCGCTTGTCCCTGCAAAGAACAAGCAATATCATTTTTGACATGGTGTAACATAGCATTGTAAACTTGATACGAGAAAATGGAGGCCCAGGGAGCACAAGGCCATGCAGCCTGCCAGAGCTGGCTGTAGCATCTGGGCTTTGGTGCCCAGCAAGACAGCTTGCCACCCAAACTGGGTGTCATTGCTGGTTCACTGTTTGGTGATCTCCTGAGACTTGGAATTCATCTCATTTTGGAGGGAGCTCAGAGGCTTTATCACAGACACAAATAACCTGGAGACTCTAATACCTTCTCTAGATTATTATTTGGTGCTTTGTCAATAAGGCTCAGCCTGTTCAAATAACAAAGTACATGATTTACTTTGCTTCAAAGGTAATATTGGTATTCATTTCTGGCATTTAACATTTATGAAGTCCTTTTAAAATTTTTGTTAGTGGCTCTGTTTTATTTGCACGGGAGATTTTCCATTATGAAGTAGTGTGTACTGGCAGGACTCTTTGAGTGGCTGGGATCAGACACCTCTCCCAAGCTCGCTTAAGCAGAAAAAGGAATACATTCGCTCATATTCTCCAGGATGTCTCTGGTAAGTCTGTGATGGATCTGAGCCAGATGCAACTGGATTCAGGGGCTATGTGATGTCAGGGGCAAGATGATTCCCCATCTCTCTGCCCTCCTGGTCTCTGTGGTCTCTTCCTCATATCTTGATGGATAAGAAGGTCAATAGTAGCTCTGTACTCATGTCACCCTGCCTAGCAACCCGATAGGTCAATCTCCCAAGAGAATCTGTTTGGCCAATCTTGAGTTTTCTCTGAACCAATGTGTTTGGTTGGGGACATGCAATACTCAGATGGTCAGCCTGTGTCACATAGTCTCTCCCAGTGTCAAGGGGTGGGGAACGGTGACAGACAACCCCATTCCACAAAGGAGCATAAAGTACTGGAGAAGTTGCCCCAGGGAAAGGGGCAGAAGAGTGTTCTTATCAGAAACAGCTACAGCTGTCACACTTCTACCACCTGAAGATTTACAAGAGCAACTCAGAGTTACATAAAAATGTTAATTTCCTATAAAAAGATGTATTATTGTAGACTCAACGATCCATCAAGTAATTCACATTTTATTTCCTTCTTTATCTTCATCCTTTCACAGTGGCAGAAGGACAAAACCATTAAAGGAAAAAAGGTTATTTAAAAAAAAGAAATCATTTGCTCTTTCAAATATTGTCTTAGCCTCTCTCTTTGGCTCTTCTAACAAACTTCGCACGTAGATCTGTGGTTGTCTTTGATTTACCATTCTCCACCTACCGAGAGAAAGCCCTTCAAGCAGAGACTAATGTTTTATTTCTGTTCTGTGTCTGGCTGAATGCAGGTGTTCAGTAAAGGTGTGTGGGTAGAACTGGCAGGTGCATGAATGGCGCACACCTGCCTGGCTGGAGATGCCAAGCCTTTGAAGAGCTGAAGTTACACAGCACATGGTGTTAAAGTTGGAATCTGAACTCCATTATCTTCCTGTCCCCAATTTAGGGTTTTTAATATGCTTCTTTCTTTCTTTTTTTTGCTGGCTCCCCAGGCTGTGTGTGTCGGTCTGCAACTTCCCAGTCGCTCTCTGTGCTTAGCGACTGAACCAGTAGCGATGGTGGTTGGCCCCACATGGGACAGGAAGGCAGTCTCAGAACTCCTGGGCGGTGTGGTTATCCAGCCGTCATGAGATAGAGTCCCTTCCAGTGCCACCTTCAGGAGCTTACTGTGTGGCTGAGTTGAGCTGTGTCTCAAAGAGCCCCAGGAACACGGCAGGTGGGGGAGTGTCCCCACCTGCTCATTACCTCATCTTCTGAGCTCTGTATCCTCTGCATCCTGTGGCCTCAGTTGCTTTCCCACAGAGCAACTCAACTGTGGCTCATGCTGTCAGAGATCCATGTTGCTCCTTCCAGACCTTTTTGTGACCCCCCAGCCTATTGACACCCCCAGATTCTGTTAGACTGGAATCAATTAAGAAAAAAGCCAAACTTCCAGATTAATATGGAGACTTGCCCTTACACTTAAAAAAAAAATACAAATCAGTGCACACTGGAAATGTAAGGGCAAGTCTCTCCCCCATTTAACAAAGTGTCAGGGCCAGTGACCTTGTATCCTACAGGGAGGCTCTGTCAGTCAGGGTTAAGTCCGAGAGGCAGGACTAGCAGGGGACAGACATTGAGATTCATTCAAGGGATTGGCTTATGCGATTATGGGGACTGGCCAGGCAGGTCTGAAATCCTCAGGGCGGGCTAGCAGGAAGGGCGGGCTAGATGCTCAGCTGTGGACTGAAGCTTCTGCCCAAGGATTGGATTTCTTCTTCAGCAGAGCCTCAGTTTACCTGATGAGGCCTCTTAGCTGACTGCATCAAGCCCACCCAGTTTGTCTGGGATAATCTCCCCTTACTTCACTTGAACTGATTATGATTATAACTCATCATTATATTGTGCAATGCTCACTTTAAACATAAGAGTAAGTGTGGAATCATTGAAGTGACACAACTGGCATTTCCTAGTTCATATGTGCACCTGAATTTTGTTCTTACCAGAACAGTAGAAACACTCCAGAAAATGAGCCCACCTGTTTTTATTTCACTTCTAATGAACGCACATTCTCCTGACGTTTTACTGGTTGGCGGGGAGGGACTGAAGGGTGGAGGAACTGTGGTTCTCCTTCTGTCCCTTTCTTTCTGCATTGTCCTCTTCAGTGTAAATAGTCACCTGATACAGGGAAGTCATACAAAGGAACAGGATGTGATAGAGTGCCTTGATCATTCATGTTTCTCTGAACACAACTGACTTCTTTCTGCATTTAAAGCAAGCCCCAGGTCTAGAGCGTAGGCTCTTGGGGCTGTTCGCACACCAGCTGCTGTGTCATAGACTTAACATGTTTGTACTTGCTTTGCGTCTTGCTCAATTCCCCCCCATCATGGGATGCACATATTGTGCACATCTCCTCTGCTCAAGCATGTTCTCCACTGTCCATCACACTTAGCTTTCAAAACTCAAGTTCAAAGATAAAGTTATTAAGGATTCAAGATGGTGACATTAAACCAATCATGGAACCCGCCTGGGCATGGGACCCGATGTGATTGCATAGTTTGCATGCCCATGAAGCCAGTTGTGTGTGTGTGTGTGTGTGTGTGTGTGTGTGTGTGTGTACATGCTATTTTAAATAATGTAGATACTGAAGGACTGTCTCATAAGGGAATATTTTGATCAGGATCCTCAAGAAGGTGAGGAAGCAAGACTTGCAGAGACCTGGCAGGAGTGGCATGTTCAAAGGTTCCAGGCACACGTGTCTGCCTTATTCTCAGAAGAGGAAGGAGGCCCCTGTGGTTGAATCCAAGTAGGGGGAAGGGGGAGGAGGGAGAGACGGGATCAGAGAGGCAGCTGTCCATGAATTGTGCATGGGTTCAAAGGCCAAGGTAAAAACTTGGGGTATTTCATGAGAAGAGGCTAAGACTTGGGAGAGTTTTAGCAGAGGAATGACACACCATGATTAGATTTTTGAAGGATCCCTCTGGTTGCATGTGGCAATTCTCTGCATCGCATGAGGGCTGGAAGTGGTAGGATTAGCTGCCTTAATAAACCAAACAAGGTGGACCCCAGACTGGGTGTATAGATAATAGTGATTAAATATAGTTGGATTCTGGACATATTTCAAAACCAGTGCCACCAGGAGTTGCATATCGGATGGACATTTACTTGGAATCCTGATCTGAGACAGCAGATAAAATGGCCCTTGAGAAGTAGATGATTTCCTAAAGTTCTATAGCTGGTGATGCATGGCCGAGCTGGGGAGGGCAGAGAAATCTTGTTGTTTTCATTATCATCAGTTCTTCCCCTTTCCCAATATCTCTAGACTTTTCCCCAGATAGCTCCTATGACATCCTCTTCTGAACACCCTCATGTATATAGTGGAATATAGCATGGGTTCCCACATAGGATTTCATCTGTATGTATCACCTTGGAAGAACTTCTCAGAACAAGGTCCTGGGTGGCCCCTACCTCCGCTCCCCCCCCCCCCATGTTTTCATGGTCTTGGGGTAGGGCCAGCTTTCTCTGTTTCATTTTAGTGGAGTCCTGACAGTTCTTTCCCTCGATTTTACTAAATATCTTTTGGCCTTCCTAGTAAAGTAAAATGAATAAAATAGAGATCGTGCTACCAGGTTTGACGTACAGTTGTACCATGTACAATTCCAAATGATTTAACTATATGTGACATATTTTTTTTTTTTTTTTGCTTTTTAGCACTTTCAGACCATGCTGAAGTCAAAATTGAATGTCCTAACACTGAAAAAGGAACCTCTCCCAGCGGTCATCTTCCACGAGCCCGAGGCCATCGAGCTGTGCACCACCACACCCCTGATGAAGACCAGGACTCACAGTGGCTGCAAGGTACGTGGCACATGGCCAGCTGGGGCCCCCTGGAAGGGGCAGACAAAGGGACCTATAGCCTTAAGACAATTGTTTTACAGTAGCAACTTTTTAAGAAGGAAAATGTAAAATGAGTAACAAATAATAAGCTCGTTGAATGAAGGTAGTATGACTCCAGACCCTGCTTTATTTTTCTTAATGCTACAGCACTTCCTCATTCGGGGGACACATTAAAGACATCAGTTTTAGTAGGTATGAAGAGAACAGTATTCTCGCCATATTTTCCGTGGCCTGATGGAACTTTGAGCTTCGCAAGAAAATTTCTGTCTTTAATGACATTTTTTCCTTTTGTATTTGCAATCCAAATAAAATGTATCTTAAAAAATAAAAAAATGAACAATCAAACAAGTTTATCAATGGTGTTATTTTGAGCCCTTTGGGGGTAATTTTGCATCTTGTTTTCCTTCAGCTCTCCAAATGTATACTCATATTCATGCCTCAGAATCCACTATAAAACATTTTTTATTTTTTGTAAACTCTAAGGCCGACATGGAAAGAAAACTAGACGTGAAATGTACAGTTTGGTAAGCTCCTGAATTCCTTCTCACATGATATTCTTTTCTATGAGAGTTGATGGATATAATACTTGGTTTAGAGGTAACAAAGAAAATATGTTTTTTGAATATTTTGTCATCAGAGATTTGTCTCGAGTAGTGAAAATAAAATAAAAATGCTCATTTGCATGTGGGTTTCTTTTATAACCTTGTAGATACTGTCCTTTCCTTCTCGCTTTCCGGGTTAGGGAAGTAAAGGTCCACTGATCTCTCTGGCCAGGGTATTCCATCCCCTTCCCAGTTGCTGCATTGCTGCGGTCAGACTGGAGCCTATAGCAATCTCGAGTGATGGCCGTGTGCATGGAGCCTCACACAGGCCCATTCATTCCACAAATACTGGGTGCTCGCTGGCTGCCCGGGACCGGGGAGACTGTGAGCAAGACCCACCAGCATCTTTCTGGGGCTTCACTGGTAGTTGGAGGAGGAAGGAGGAGAAAATATAAGCAAACAAGCACTGGCTGGTGAAAAGCCAGAAGAATTTTCTTGTGGAAAAGGAGGGCTAATTCTCTGAGGTGGAAATGATCTTGCTGTAGTTTGGAATGCAAAGGAATGGGGCCTGTGTAACCAGGAAGTTGAGAAGGATGTGTTGATGGGGTTGGGTGTGAATCCAGATATAGAAAGAATCTTGTCATCATGGCAAAGAGTTTAGGTTTGTCCTAATTACTAGGGAAACCTCAGAGAGGTTTAAGCAAGCCAGTTATATGACTCCATTGTAAAAAGAGATATTGATGGTAACTGCTGAGGTGAGCTTCCAGCTTCCAAAGAGTAGTTGCTGTGGCCCCACTTCAGTTAGAAAAGGGGACCCACAGACCTGGCCTTGGGGCCCGTTGTATCTAGGGCTTTTGGTGAATTCATGGTAGAAAGGAATTACACAAATGCTCATGACATTTGAAAGTGATGTGAGATCAATTCGGGTGATCCATCCTTTTGAGATTTCCTAATCATTTTGAATTCTGCTCCTGTTCGGTAAATTATCCCTCAGAAAGCAAGATTAAGTCAGTAGGGAAAGGCAGGAGGAGTTTACTTTGATGAAGTCTACAGAGTAAATGGGGGGGAAAAAGCAATAACAGAAAAAAAAAAACTAGCAATCCAATCTTCCAATCTGATTATAAAAGGTATGTGTGTACAGAGAGAGAGAGAGGTATTTACTAAAAGAACAAAACCATCATGTTTCTGAAAAGGAGAATAGGGTTCAAAACTCATGAGTAATTTTGTTCTCTGTGTGCCACCTTAGGTTGTGTTCATTTATTTTACTTCTGAAAGGATATTGAAAAACATAGAAGAAATTCAGAAGCACACACCAGAGTGAGCCAGGGTTGCCCTGGTGTCAATCTTGGGGCTGGACAAAGGGAAAGGAAAGGTGCAATGATTTCAGCTGGACACAGGGAAGAGCTTCTGCATTCAAGGTTAAAAACGCATCCCACCGGGCTCTACAAAGTGTATGAACTCTCCCTCCCTGGAAGTCTTGGAGAGGAGATTTTAGGCATACATAATCATAATCCTGGAATCAGCAGTCGGAGCCAACACCTCTTCAGGAACTTTCCAGCTTTAGGATTCTCTGTGAGGGGAAAAACGTCTAATGTCTCATTCTTCACATTGTATACTACATTACACTTTGTACATTTAAATTTTAACTTAAAGGGACTGGAGTCACAGTCTTTAATTCTCAAGGACAATGTCACATTTGTGTCCAGGGTCCTATTGTTCTGTTTAAAAACAGAGTTAGGTTTTTGAGCCTTGAGATTTCTGTTTAGAATCTCCAGACTTCCCCCACTTTTTTTCCCGATCATCTCCAGGAACAAAGTGCAGTGTTTCCTCTCTGATTCTTGCAAGTAACTTAGCTCACAAAATGCCAGCTGCAGAAGGAGCTCCCTCTCGGACTCCCGCCTGCAGGGAATAATGGGCACAATGTAGCGGGGCCCAGCTGCAGGGCCAGCACCCGGGGACCCTCCGCTTCACACAGTGCCCGTTCTTTTTGCCTAACAGCCCTCAAGTTGTGCTTGCATCACTTTGGATTTGGGAGGGAGAGAGGCAGGAGGAAGCAAAGGACAAGGGGCTTGAGAATGCATGACGGTTAGCACCATCGAGGCCCTGGCTGATCTCAGACTTCCCGCTTTCTTCTGATCTGTATTCTCTGTGGGTCCCAACGGGCTTGCTCTGCCAGGCTATTCATGTCGTGGGCAGCTGGGTCTTTGTGCTGTTCTCCTCTATTGCTGCCACTTTTTTTTTCCCCCTGGAGTGTAGTTATTTAACTGTACAAACCCACTGCATATCATTTATTATGTGCCCACCAGTATTCTTTTTGAAGATGCTTGGAGTATCAGAGGCTGTGTTTGATTTCGCAAGGCAATAATGGCTTGTCACACCGAAGTTTTCCTGCCCAGCACAATGGGATCCGATGGCTTTGGCTTTTTAGCAAAGATTTATTTAATTAACAGCCACCAAAAACCTTCTGTTTACATGGAATTGGGGAGAAAGGAATCAAGTAAGTATTGTGGGAATGCAACTTAGAGCTCAGCAGAAGGAATATAAAATGAATGCCCAAATAGATAAATTGCAAGTGCTGCTGAAATTAGTTTATGTATCAGAAACCTCCTGGGAGGCAGTTTTCTGGACCTTCTTTCCAGAGATTCTGATTCAGGCACTTAGTTTAGTGTTGGGTACTTTAAAGTAGACTGTAATTTCCATGACAGAGGGGCCAGGCCGTGCTGTGAACTTGAGGACCTGAACTAGAGTGGTGTGTAAGAAGAGCAACATTAGTGACATAAATGCCACCTGTAGTGCCATTTCACAGATGGGCTAGTTGAGGCATAGAGAGGTTCCTTCTTGTCCCGGGGCACCCCCTTGAGTAATTGGCAGAGCCTGGATTTGAACTTCAGAGGTCTGGCCCCATGGCCTGTGCTGTCTCCGCTAGACTGCCCTGTCTCTCAGTCCCCACTGAGTGGCTCCCATGTGTGTCCAGAGACAGCTCAGAAAACTGGCTGTGTCATGTGACGGTAGCAAGTGGTTTTGCTTCCGCAAGCCTCACGTCTGTGCCTCTCATAGTCATGTATTTCAGGCCATCTCTCGTCTAAAGGTCCAAGTCAAGGATTTACCTTGTTTTATTGGGTTAGAATTTTGTCTTTGCTTACAAACACCAGGAAGCATGGGGGAGTATACTAAAAGTATCACCTAATATTATACCAGATATTCCACTCATGTGCTCAAATTTGTTTTTTTTTTAATAAAGAGGGGCAGTCTATAATGAAAAGTCATGCCTTGTGAAAACTGTGTATGAAACAAAGCATGGCATGTCCAGTGGGTTCCTGTATGCCCACGTGGGCACTGTAGAAAACCCGTTCAGCAGAGATGGTCCCCAGGCTCGTGGTGTTCATAGTTTTAAAGCAAAATAACAGCACTACTGTAACAAACTGACACACAGTTGGGAGTCTGGCACATCTTAGAACATACAGTTTTTTATTTAAAACCTTTTATAAAGTGTGTGACTGGAGGTAATCTCTGAGGGTCAGGATTTCAATGAATTGAAGAAATGTAACATGGAGGAGAAAGGCCAAAGGATAATATATAGGAAAAGATGTGGGAACCCAAACAGAATGATTGGCAGTTACGTATATAGGCCTCCCGCCGGGGCCTGGCTCTGTGGGCCTTTGTGCTGGATTCACGGGGTGGTCCTTCCTCCACACCCTCCAGCATAGCCGGGCCAAGCCGAGGCAGGCCTTAAAGGATGGTGCCCGGGAGTGACACTTCCTGGCCATCTGCAGCCTGTGGGAGATGGGGGCCCATAGGGCCAGTTGACACATGGTATTTCCTTCCGTGGCCTCCCTTTCGGTTCCCTCCTTGCTCAGGGTGTTGGTACCCTTGTCTCCCTTCTGCAGCTTGGTGGGCACCCAGCTGCCCTCACTGTGGGCCCACCAGCACCTCGCCTGGGCCTGCCTCACTCAGGAGGCTTGAGCTCCCAGATCCACCTCCCCAAGAGGGTTACTGGGCCTGGCGTCAGTTCCATCTAAGACCCTCGCTCTCCTCTTCCTGTTTGTGAAGCCAGAAACCTTACAACAATCTTGTTGCCAAGAAGGAATTCATGACTCATAAACCGTCACAATTTTTATATTACTCTTTTGGAGAACTTTGGCACACAGGGGTGGCACTAGGAGTCTGTTAGCTCTCAGGAAGGATGTGGTTGATTTCCAGTTTCATGGGACTGAGAAGAGAAATCTCTGAGCTGAAAGCTTTGAGGCAACCCTCATCCTACCACGTCACATGCATGTAAAATGGCCAGGCTTAGAAGTGGATTTCACCAACACCCCTTCTCAGAAGAGCTCCTGATTTGAATTTAAATGTATTTAAAATTAGCATCACATGTATCTGTTTTCTACATTTATATCTGTGTGTTTATTTGACCAGTTATGT